CCCGGAGTGTAAACCTGGAGTGTGTCAGGGAAACCTGGAGTGTATCAGGGAAACCCGGAGTGTATCAGGGAAACCTGGAGTGTGTCATCAGGGAAACCTGGAGTGTATCATCAGGGAAACCTGGAGTGTATCATCAGGGAAACCTGGAGTGTATCAGGGAAACCTGGAGTGTATCATCAGGGAAACCTGGAGTGTATCAGGGAAACCCGGAGTGTGTCAGGGAAACCTGGAGTGTAAACCTGGAGTGTATCAGGGAAACGTGGAGTGTATCATCAGGGAAACCTGGAGTGTATCATCAGGGAAACCTGGAGTGTGTCAGGGAAACCTGGAGTGTATCATCAGGGAAACCTGGAGTGTATCAGGGAAACCCAGAGTGTGTCAGGGAAACCCGGAGTGTATCATCAGGGAAACCTGGAGTGTATCATCAGGGAAACCTGGAGTGTATCATCAGGGAAACCTGGAGTGTATCATGGTTTCATCAGGGAAACCTGGGAGTGTACAGGGACAGTGGTCAGGGAAACCTGGAGTGTATCATCAGGGAAACCTGGAGTGTTCAGGGAAACCTGAGGGTGCTTCAGGGAACCCGGAGTGGTATCATCCAGGGAACTGAGTTGTATCATCAGGAAAACCTGGAGTGTATCATCAGGGAAACCTGGAGTGTATCAGGGAAACCTGGAGTGTGTCAAGGGACAACCGGAGTGTAATCATCAGGGAAACCTGGAGTGTATCATTAGGGAAACCTGGAGTGTTCCGAGTCCAGGGAACCTGGAGTGTATCATCAGGGAAACCTGGATGTTCATCAGGGAAACCTGGAGTGTATCATCAGGGAAACCTCGAGTGTATCAGGGAAACCTGGAGTGTATCATAAGGGAAACCTGGAGTGTATACATCAGGGAAACCGGAGTGTATACAGGGAAACCCGGCAAGGTGGTCAGGGAAACCCGGAGTAAAAACCGGAGTGTTCAAGGAAACCTGGAGGTACATAGGGAAAACCGGAGTGTATCATCAGGGAAACTGGAGTGTATTCAGGGAACCCTAGAGTGTGTCCGGGAAAACTGGATGTAAACCTGGATGTAGTCAGGGAACGTGGAGTGTATCATCAGGGAAACTGGAGTGTATATCAGGGAAAACCTGGAAGTGTAATCAGGGAAACCCGGAGGTTTCAGGGAAACCCGGAGGGTTTCAGGCGAAACCCGGGAGTGTTCTAGGGAAACCTGGAGTGTAATCATCAGGGAAACCTGGAGTTATCGGGAAACCTGGAGTGGTATCATAGGGAACCTGGAGTGTTCAGGGAAACCCGGATGTGTCAGGGGAAACTATAAAGGAGTGTAAACCTGGAGTTGTTCAGGGAAACCTGGAGTGGTGTCAGGAACCTGGAATGTGGTATGCAGGAACCTGGAGTGTTATAGGGAAACCTGGAGTGTTCCATCAGGGAAACCTGGAGTGTTCATGGAAACCTGAGTGTATCGGGAACCTGGAGTGTATATCAGGGAAACCTGGAGTGATCATCAGGGAAACCTGGAGTGATAAACCTGGAGGTAAAACTGAAGTGTATCAGAGAAACCTGGAGTGTGTCAGGGAAACCTGGAGTGTGTCAGGGAAACCTGGAGTGTATAGGGAAACCTGGAAGTGTAAACCTGGAGGTGTATCAGAGAAACCTGGAGTGTGTCCAGGGAACTGGAGTGTGTCAGGGAACCTGGAGTGTTATCAGGGAAACCTGGAGTATATCAGGGAAACCTGGAGTGTATCAGGGAAACCTGGAGTGTAAACCTGGAGTGTGTCAGGGAACCTGGAGTGTATCATCAGGGAAACCTGGAGTGTATCAGGGAAACCTGGAGTGTATCAGGGAAACCTGGAGTGTAAACCTGGGTGTGTCAGGGAAAACTGGAGTGTTAAACCTGAGTGTATCAGGGAAACGTGGAGTGTATCATCAGGGAAACCTGGAGGTGTGTCAGGGAAAACCTGGAGTGTGTCAGGGAAACCTGGAGTGTATCATCAGGGAAACCTGGAGTGTGTCAGGGAAACCTGGAGTGTAAACCCTGGAGTTGTGTCAGGGAAACCTGGAGTGTGTCAGGAAACCTGGAGTGTATCATCAGGAAACTGGAGTGTGTCAGGGAAACCTGGAGTGTATCATCAAGGGAAACCTGGAGTGTATCATAGGGAAACTGGAGTGTGTCAGGAAACCTTGGAGTGTATATCAGGGAAACCTGGAGTGTATCAGGGAACCGGAGTGTGTCAGGGAAACCTGGAGTGTAAACCTGGGAGTGTATCAGGGAAACGTGGAGTGTATCATCAGGGAAACCTGGAGTGTTCATCAGGGGAAACCTGGAGTGTGTCAGGAACGGGTGTTGAAACCTGGAGTGTATCAGGAACGGGGGGTCAGGAAACCTGGAGTGTATCATCAGGGAAACCTGGAGTGTGTCCAGGGAAACCTGGAGTGTATCAGGGAAACCTGAGAGTGTATCAATCAGGGAAACCTGGAGTGATCATCAGGGAAACCTGGAGTGTATCATCAGGGAAACCTGGAGTGTATCAGGGAAACCGGAGTAGTATCAGGGAAACCTGGAGTGATCATCAGGAACGGAGTGAAAGCCTGGGTGTGTAGGGAACTAGAGGTGTAGGGACACCCGGAGTGTATCATCAGGGAAACCTGGAGTGTACATACAGGGAAACCTGGAGTGTATGCAATCAGGGAAACCTGGAGGTATCATCAGGGAAAACCTGGAGTGTATCATCAGGGAAACCTGGAGTGTGTCAGGGAAACTGGAGTGTATCATCAGGGAAACCGGAGTGTATCAGGGAAACCCGGAGTGTGTCAGGGAAACCGGAGTGTATCATCAGGGGAAAACCTGGAGTGTGTCAGGGGAAACTGGAGTGTATCATCAGGGAAACCTGGAGTGTATCATCAGGGAAACCTGGAGTGTTCAGGGAAACCTAGAGGTTTGATCAGGGAAACCTGGAGTGGATAACCTGGAGTGTATCAGGGAAACGTGGAGTGTATATCAGGGACCTGGAGTGTTCATCAGGGAAACCGCTGGAGTGTATCAGGGAAACCCGGATGGTATCCAGGGAAAGCCTCGGATGTGTGTTCAGGGAAACCCGGAGTGTATCATCAGGGAAACCTGGAGTGTATCATCAGGGGAAAACCTGGAGTGTATCAGGGAAACCTGGAGTGTATCATCAGGGAAAACCTGGAGGTCATCAGGGAAACCGGAGTGTTGTCCAGGGAAACTGGAGTGTAAACCTGGAGTGTATCAGGGAAACGTGGAGTGTATCATCAGGGACCTGGAGTGTTCATCAGGGAAACCTGGAGTGTGTCAGGGAAACCTGGAGTGTATCATCAGGAAACCTGGAGTGTATCAGGGAAACCCAGAGTGTGTCAGGGAAACCGGAGTGTATCATCAGGGAAACCTGGAGTTTATCAAGGAAACCTGGAGTGTATCATCAGGGAAACCTGGAGTGTATCAGGAAACTGGAGTGTATCATCAGGGAAACCTGGAGTGTATCATCAGGGAAACCTGGAGTGTGTCAGGGAAACCTGGAGTGTGTAGGACCCCGGTGGTATCCAGGGAAACCTGATGTATCATCAGGGAACCATGAGTGTATATCAGGGAAACCTGGAGTTATCATCAGGGAAACCTGGAGTGTATCATCAGGAACCTGGAGTGGTGTCAGGGAAACTGGAGTATATCAGGGAAAACCGGAGTGTATCAGGGGAAACCCGAGTGTGTAAGGGAAACCAGAGTGTATCATCAGGGAAACCTGGAGTGTGTCAGGAAATGGTGTGTCAGGGAAACCTGGAGTGTATCAGGGAAATACATAATTCTTAGCAACCGCATGAGAAGCTTTCTAATTATGTTGACAAATTTAGACATATCAAGGAAAGTACCAGAATCAGGTAATAATGTAGGAAAACATTGCTTTTCTAGACCTTTAAGATAAAACATTTTAGGTGCCAGGCCATGATAATAAAATTGGAGGAAAAATGTCACAAGGGTTGAGGAAAAAGCTGAATGAGAGAGTTATCCTCTCAGGCCTTCTAAGGGGAGAAAAAGCTGAAAGCAGCAAGACACAGCAAAGCCCGACTTCCAGGATATGATTCTGAGTTTTTTTGTTTGTTTGTTTTGTTTTTTTGAGACGGAGTCTGGCTCTGTCGCCAGGCTGGAGTGCAGTGATGCGATCTCAGCTCACTGCAAGCTCCGCCTCCAGGTTCACACCATTCTCCTGCCTCAGGCTCCCCGAGTAGCTGGGACTACAGGCGTCCGCCACCACGCCAGGCTAATTTTTTGTATTTTTAGTAGAGACGGGGTTTCACCGTGTAGCCAGGATGGTCTCGATCTCCTGACTCGTGATCCACCTGCCTTGGCCTCCCAAAGTGCTGGGATTACAGGTGTAAGCCACCGTGCACGGCCTATAAAATTATTTTAAAAAAGGATACAATTTATAGAATTATTATAGTCATTAGAATTATTATTTCTACTAACTTAAATTTTAGTGGAAATTTAGTAAGCAAGAAGTCCTGAACTGTTTGTCAGATGTTAGCATTTTATAGATGAAGTCATTTCACAATTTAGAACCATGTTTTCCTATATTTTATTGTAAATTATTCCCATAATTTATTATAATTCTTTAAAAATTGGAAATGACCCAGACATTCAATAAGCATTTATTATTTAATTTAAAGTAATTTTAAGATTTTAAATTATAGAAAAAATCCACCTACAAACATATATTTACATATATTTCATTTATGTGTATTTAATTTTTTAATCTGTAAGTTTATCTAGATTCTTTTGGAAAACAGGTATTATACAAAGTTAGTCATTATTTAAAGTTATTCACTGTTAACCATTTCTAAAGTCCGAACATTAGGTGAACACCTAAGAAAGAGCCTCAGAGTAAATCCATGGGCATTCTGCCAGTAACTCAGAGGATTCAGTTGCTTTCATTGAACTAACAATCCTAACTTATTCTTTTTTTTTTTTTTTTTTTTTTTTTTTGAGACGGAGTCTCGCTCTGTCGCCCAGACTGGAGTGCAGTGGCGCGATCTCGGCTCACTGCAAGCTCCGCCTCCCGGGTTCACGCCATTCTCCTGCCTCAGCCTCCCGAGTAGCTGGGACTACAGGCGCCCGCCACCTCGCCCGGCTAATGTTCTTTTGTAATTTTAGTAGAGACGGGGTTTCACCGTGTTAGCCAGGATGGTCTCGATCTCCTGACCTCGTGATCCGCCCGCCTCGGCCTCCCAAAGTGCTGGGATTACAGGCTTGAGCCACCGCGCCCGGCACTTATTCTTATTTGTCAAAAAATTACACAGAGATTGCTCTGTGTTTGGTTGGGTTATAGTCTTACCATCTTTGTGCCAAACCCTGACACTTCAAACATTTAACAGAGGCAAATATAAAATTTTTTGGCTTAGATACAAATGTGTGCTGATGACTCTGAAGGCATTTTTGTTTTTATTTTACAAATAATTTTGAAGCCAGTTTCATTTATCAAAGATTCATGTGAACTTGGAAAGCATTTGAACTTAATTTATGTTTACTCATTACTTATAAGCCAGTTTGGTAGCATGCTAGACGCGACACAGAACATAACTACAACATGCACATTACGTATCTAAACATGTATACATCCACACACAAACAAAGATCGAAGAGCTTTTATCTGAGAACTCTAGCCATGAGAGAGCACCACGAACTCACTGACCTGTGAAAGACGGCTGGCTCCACGTTATTTTCTGACAAAATTGGAAGCTGTTCACACGGCTAACTTTGTTTGCCCTGGTAGGTAATCCAAGGGAAGCTGGCAGCCGATTTTGGGCAAAGCAGCCTCTGTGGCAGTTTGGTTTTTTCTTTTTAAATCTTTTATCCTTTTTTTCTGTTCAGTTTCAAACGAGTTTTCAATGTTTATATTCGATTTAGACCATAAACAATGAGTCTTCTCTCAGCACCAGCAGCTTCACAACAGCAGATTAAAGCAGGCCGAAAAGAGAGGAGGGGAGGGAGCTAAAGAAGATTCTACTGAACTCCACAGTGAACTATTTGAACTCTGAATTTTTCCTGTTGTAATTTGCCTATCAGTTTAAAATGTGCACAAAAATGGGCCAGAATATGTAACCAGTCCCAAAGAAGATGACAAAATCAGAGGCTGTGATGTCGGAAACTGTTTTTCTCCTTCAAGGCGAACCCCTGGATTGGACAGGAAATGAGAAAAAGAAAAGAGAGATGTAGAGGAGAAAGGTCACGTTTTACAGGAAGGAAGAGGAAAGAGAAAGGAAGGAGGGGAGGCTTGTGAGCCTTCCAGCCACTGCCAGGCGAGGAGTCAGTACCCAGGTTTATCTCCTGTCAGGGAGAGCCTCAGCACCCCACACCTGCATGGTGTGGGATGAGCCCTTCCCACCTTTGCAAGTCACCAGTCGAGGTGAACTGTTTCCAGCCGGAGGGAGCTATGGGTGCTTTTGGCCAGGAGGAATAAGGCTGTAGGTGGCTCCAAGATAATCAGGAGGATGACTTGGAAGAAGTTGTGGGAGGGAGGGCTGAGTAGAGCTCCAAATCCCTCACCTCAGTTTCCAGTGCCCTCCCCACCCCTGCCCTGGAACAGCCTGAACCCAGCAAGGCGTCAAGGCTGCCACAAATACAAATGCATAAAATGCTCCAATGGTGTCACTAGCGGCCAAGTCTAAATAGAGCAGAGCTCCAGTGACACCCAAAAAGAGGCAGATGGTGGTCAAATGCACTCCGACTAACTCACTAAGTTCCAAAGTTTCAAAGTTCCCAAATCCCAAAGTTTGTCACTTCTCTAAAGTCACTTTCATTGCACCAGTGAGACATTGGAGGCAGCAGGCACTGCAGCCGGAAGAGAAAGAGAGGATCCCCAAGACAGAAGCATCTAGGCAGCTGCCGGAGACTCCCTAGCGTTCCGGCCAAGGGGTCAGGTAGCCACAAGCAGCCGAAGCCCACAGGCAGCCCTAGGCCCTGCCCAGTAGAAACCAGACCGTGGGCTTGGGCCCCCAGAGCACACTGTATGGGCCACTAAAATTGTAGCTGAATGCAGGTCCACATGCTCGCTGCCTGCAGAGCCCAGCGATCAAGAGTGAGGCCGGGTAGAAAGAAAGTGACTTTATTAACCACGACTAGTAAAGGGGAAGTGGCAGATTCCCATCAAAGCAACCACTTTGACTATTTCAGGGGAAGGGAGGGGTTTAAAAGAGGAAAGCTTGATTAAGGAGGGCATGCAGGAATTGTGCTGAGTGCCGTATCTCTGTGTCTTGTTTTTGTGATTATCTTTGGTGCCAATCCACCTGGACTTCAGGCTGACATCGTCTCAACAATGGCTGAGTTGTTAATTAGCCACATTGAAGTAATCTCTGGAATTTTGCAGCTAGGTCTCCATGTTTGGTCTGTCTGTCTCAACATTACCTCCTGGAACTTCTAAGAAGGCACATAATAGATACTAGCATGCAGTTAGCTAAATGTGCAGGGAGTATTGTGGTGAGAAAGGGAGCTAATTTAAAGCTAAGAGAAAAGGCTTCTGCAGTTTGCTTCAAGGTTATATCTTGGAACCCAAGAGAAGGGAAAAATGTTTTAAAATATGTATATCCAAATAGCCTCCCGGGTTCCTGCCATTCTCCCGCCTCAGCCCCCCGAGTAGCTGGGACTACAGGCGCCCACCACCATCCCCCGCTATTTTTTGTATTTTAGTAGAGACGGGGTTTCGCCGTGTTAGCCAGGATGGTCTCGATCTCCTGACCTCGTGATCCGCCCGTCTCACCTCCCAAAGTGCTGGGATTACAGGCGTGAGCCACCACCCGGCCCGTAGCAGCTTAAATTTCTAAGAACTGCGCTTCCTTCAGTGGTTTGAGGAGACTGAAGCCCAGGCCCCTGGCAAAGGGTTCTCTCTGGAGACAACAATAACACATGGCATTTCTCTTCTCTCTTCCGCAGACCTCAGAGGATGAGCCTTCTGAAAAGGACGCCCTGCAGTGTGGCCGCAATATTGTGGCCGCAGGTTATGCATTGTACGGTAGTGCAACCCTGGTGGCTCTCTCCACAGGGCAAGGCGTGGACCTTTTCATGCTTGACCCGGTAGGTACAGATTATGGCATCACCTGTGCCTGGGGACTCCATAGGCCTCTGTGCCTTAATGCCAGTTCTCTGCGATAATGTCCTGGTTATTCCTAATACTTGTTTTGGGGACCAGGGGGCCTGAGAGCCTAGTTTGGGGAGCCAACGCCATCATCAGAAACCATGAAGGGCCTCTCTCACAGTGAGGGCACTCGGGGGTAGGAGTGTCCTGCAGAGCCAGTTGCATCAACTCAGGCCCTGTCCTTAAGGAGCACATTTTCCAAAAATTCACTCAATCTCTTTGGCTTATGAGAACTCCATGGTTTAAGAATCACAATTCTGCAAATTTCCAGCAGAAACTTGGGTTCGTTAGAGCAGCAGCATCTAGTAGAATGCTCTGTGCATTTCACTTTTAAATGCTGGATGCCTTGCCCATCACTTGTGAAATGCTTTGCCAAGTATACTGAGGTCTTGTGAAAACTCAGATAATGTTGACCAAAGAACACGTCAAAACCTGTTGTGTTCACTTAGACCAAAGGTAGGTATTTAAATTTTTGATTTACAGATGTTTGTTGAGCATCTACTGTGTCCCAAAGCACCATTCCAGACAGTGGAGATGGAGCATTGATCAAACACGCATGCCGGCGCTTGTGGAGTCACATGTTAGTGCACATGTGTGGAGAGAGGAGTCTGCAAAATTTCAAAATGACATGGAGTTAACTCACAAAACAGAGTTTACAGTATGGAAACCCAGAAACTTTTCAAATAGAATCTTTCACCTATACGCCCAATAGACCAAGACCCATCGCTGTGTCAGTTTGCTAATGCCCTATGTTCAAAGAAGCTGGCAAACCCTGAGAAATTCTGTGGCTTACAAATATTACCCTCAGACAATAAAACACCCTTTCTAAAGTTGTTGTAGAATAACAGCTAAGAGTTAGATAATTCTTCGTAAGTGGTAGGCATGTAAAGTGCCTGTCCTATGAAATTTACATCTATTAATGCATTTAAATGTCACAATGGCCCTGAGGTATGTCCTACTGTTTTCCCATTTTCAGATGGGGAAAGTGAGGTGTAGAGAGAGTGAGTAACTTGCGCACGGTCAAGCTAGTGACTGGTATCAGGAGTCACGCTCCAGCAGTCTGTGCTTTAATTACTCTACCACACTGAATTTCCAAGATAACTGCTCTTGAGTACAAGCAAAATATCTCCAAGAATATTCTGAGCCGTTCTAAAGGTGATGGGAGGTGCTTTGACTCAGGCATCCAACTCAAGGATTCCCAGGCACAGACAGATCCTCTGTTTTCTGCCCTCAGTCATGACAGCAGGGCCCAGTCTGGACATGGGTGGGCACCAGAGCTTGTCAACATGACAGAAGGAAAAGCTGAACCATAGCAGCTTTCCAGATCTCTGTGTATCAGCCTGAAACCCCTTTGGATCACATCACCCTACTAAAAAGGACATTTGGGCAAAGACCCAGTGCACAAAGCTTAGTCCTGCTTGACATCCAGCAGAGGCAGCTTGTGGCAGGTGTCACAGTTAGAAATGCCGTGGACGGCGGCCAGCAGCTCACGGAAGCAGCATTCCCTGGTGGGTCACACTGAGCCTGTGAGGTCTGTGGGTCTGCAGGACTGGTGATTTGATTTTGTCAGAACACACATATTGTGGAGGCACAGAGAGACCACCTCCTCTTAACCAACTCTCCATTGTGGGATAAACCTCAGTGTCAAGGCACTCATTCACAAATGGGAGCTGTTGTTTCTTGTGACAAGGATCTGGTTTCTGATCATTGGTAACAGAGTGTATGAGAGCCCATACGAAAAATCAGCGGTTGCCGGTGACCACACAATCAGAACAAAGGAACACATTTTCCAGGTTAATAAAATTGTGGAAACAATATTCCCTGGGCCTGGGAGTCCCAGCCCCAGCCCCAGCCCCAGGAGTGGATCAACACAAGGCGTTTTCACCCACCCTGATGCAGAACGAGCGCCTCTGTCCAGGTGGTGAGGGAGTGCCGCTGTTCAGATGACGGTTGCACATCTCCACCCTCTTTGCTGAAGAGCAAGAGTAAAACTGACCCCAGCTCAGCTAAGTGAAAAGAGTTACTGCATTGATGGGAAAGCTGAGGACCCTGGCTAGGAACGGGCAGGACTAGAGCACCAGGAAGCAGGAGGCACGGCAGTGGTCTCGCAACATGGCCGGTCTGGCCTGGACACCAGCCCTGGTGCTGCGCCTCTCACTCAGGTTTCAATCCCAGGGAGGGTGTCTCATTTTCAAGCTAAGGCACGTGCCTGACCTTGGCCTACAAGGGGCCCAGATATGAGTCTTCCTAGACTGGCATCCAATGAGAAGAGTTAATTCTTCAAAGCAAGTCAGGGCACTTTTCAGAAGTAGAAATCAGCACCGAGCTGCTCCAAAGCAACAGATGCCCACAGCGAATTAAAGCTCATGAGTCAAAGACATCACTCGTGCACCTGTAATAACCAGAAGTTAGATTTAGCAAGCACTGCAGAGCAGCCGTGGGGTGCTGCATAAGGAGGGAGTTGAGATGGGCTTATAGCACTTGGGGTCTTGCTTGGTGATTCTAAACAGGATTTGAGGAAGAGAGGGTCAGTCTGCATTGGATATTGTCTGGAAGTGGGTGCAATCAATGACTAGTTTCCTTAATAATTTTTATCTAGGAGGCAGGGTGATTGACGTCATCGATACAGAAGTGGTTGTCACTCATGTTAGGCAGGAGAGGATTGCAGAGTTGTTTTTGTTATTGAGTCTCCTTGGCACTGACTTGTTTCGGACACGGACAGTGCCAGCTCTCGTAGCCGCACCTCTGCTATGTGCAGTCATTCTGTGGCCTTGTCTCTTTTTATCCTGGGAATACCCCTGATGTTCCGTGGGAACCTTCTGACCTAGGTGTCAACTGTGAGCTATCATTTTGGAGTTTTTCACTGTCTCAAAATCTTTGACATTCATCAAAATGGATCTGGTTTCCAGGCTCTGATTTTCCTCCTAGTGACTTTGACAGACATGAGCATTGAAGGTGGTATCTGCCACAAGCTGATCACATTTTTAATGACTTTTAGTGATATTACCAGAAACAGACAAAGGGGTATTTGGGAGATGCCCTGCAGGTATTGACCACGGCGGCTCCAGGGGGACTGCAGAGGGACTGGGCATAGTTCTATTAATGTGTCTGAGGATTCCTTTAGATTTTACCAACTTTTTCCTTATGCTGGGTGAACACAGTTTCTTCCTCTTTTCCCCAGATAAGACTGGGACAGCAGAAACTGTGAATGGTTTCTACAGTTTAATCACTAACATAAACCAAACAACTGTACCACAAATTAATGGTTAAAATGCATCCCTCATACAACAATGTAACTTCTTCCTCTCACTGTTGATGGCCCATCTTCCTGAAAACGTTAATCTGGGGGTGAGAACTGGGGAGACACACACAGCTGGGTTCCTCGTACCTCGCTGACAGTGGAAGCCACAAAGGAAGAGAAAGAAGACTATGGCCTCTTCCTTTGAATTGTCTTCCTGCTTGCTGTGTTACTGCTTGGGCTTCCTGTGGGCTCCATGTGATCCCTGATCTTCCCACCAGTTGCGAAACCACCACAGGGCAGGCTCAGAGTGACCACAGCCAAGCCTGGGCTCTGCCAGCAGGCCCCCATCTCCTGCTCTCATTGTGGGGATCCTGCGGTCGGCTTCTGTTTCCTGGCTTATCTCCTCTTCCTGGCATCTCTCTTCATGTTGCTAGGCTCTTGGTGAATTTGTCCTGGTGGAAAAAGATGTCAAGATTAAGAAGAAAGGAAAGATTTACAGCCTGAATGAGGGCTACGCCAAGTATTTTGATGCAGCCACCACTGAATATGTGCAGAAAAAGAAATTCCCTGAGGTGAGTGAAGAAAGCCAGGTGGGTGGCACAGAATGCTGTCCCCATGGGGTCCTGTTTGGGTGGTGGCTTCAGGGGCTTTGCTGAAAGAGGTTGGTGCCACTGTTCATGGCTGTGGTCAGTAGGAAGATGATGGACTCTGCCTTTCTTCATAAGCATTTAGTATCTTATATAGCTAACATTTACCTTCTAAAGGTAGTGCTTATCTTTACATTTGAGCTTTTCCAGGATAAATTCTTTGTAAAGAAGGTAGAGATCACATTTACAAAATTCAGAGCTCAGGCCAGATCCTCTCTGAAGTCATTTGTTTAAACTAAACTCCAACCTATAGATTCACTCACTCGTTGCGTTTGCTTTTAGAAGAAATTATATGAGAGGCCCTCAAAAAGTTCATGGAAAAATGAAATTAAAAGAGATTAAAAACATAAAATATAAACTTTAGTTCTCAACATAAGCTCCATCAGGTTCAGATGCTTTTGTAAGGGCTCATACCCACCCTTTAATCCGTCTGTAACGAACTGAGGCACGGGAATTTAACCCTGTCAAGGCTGTCTTTATAATGTTATTTGCCGAAGAGAAATGGGTGCCCTTTAAAGGTTTTTTAAGATTAGGAAACAAAAAGAAGTCAGAAGGAGCTAAATCAGGATTGTAGTGATTTTGCATCAAAACCCTTGCAAAACTGCCATTGTTTGATGAGAAGATTAAGCAGGAGCACTGATGTGGTGGAGAAGGACTCTGGTGAACTTTCCGGGGCTTTCTCTGCTACAACTGTGGCTTTCTCGGAACACTCTCATAATAAGCAGACGTGGGCCAAGGATGTTTCTCCCCGGTGTTGTAAAAATGAATGGGTATAATTATCAAGGGCAAATTGTATCCTACACCTTCAGAGGCCTTTGCTCTCCTCCCCCAAGTTACGAGCATCTATAGTTATCCCTCCCTCCCGCCCTCGCTCCCTCCCGCACTCTCACCTCTCTCTCTTTCTCTCTCTGTCTCTCTCTATTATCTCTATCTATCTATCTATCTATCTATCTATCTATCTATCTATCTATCTATCTGTCTGTCTTTAACTGATAGATTTCTCATAGCTTTTCTTTACAGAGCAAAGGTTAGTTAAAGAGTAGAAACACCTGTCTCTGTTATGTCAAGTCCTCTGGGCTAAAAAACTAGGAGCTTAGGAATATGGGTTCCATCTCTAGTTCCTGATAATTCACTGTGTGTCTGTTGAAAGATTCTTTCTGTATTTAAATGTTTTGATTTTATAACTTAATGTTTTCTCCAAATATAAAAAGTATGTTCCTGTGTAACACATCACATGGAAGACACCAAAAAATATAAGAAAATGTAAACAAAATCCATGTGTAAGGTACTTCACCCTCAAAAACCCCACTGTGGGCCACCACATCTGGCTAGTTTTTTGTATTTTAGTAGAAACAGGGTTTCACCATGTTGGCCAAGATGGTCTCGATCTCCTGACCTCGTGATCCTCTGGCATCAGCCTACCAAAGTGCTGGGACTACAGGCGTGAGTGACCACGCTCAGCTGAACATCTTGATACATTTCTCTAGGGTTTGTTTTCTGCAAATGTGCTTACCCAGTTACCAGATGTGGTTCAACTGGAAACAGTTTTTAAACCTGCTTTTCTACTGACTTCACAAGCATTTCCGAGTCAGTAAAAGTTCTTCAAAAGCACATTGCTGTGCGGTAACATGCTTAATCATTCTCAGGTTGTTCCACACTTAGGCTGTGTCCAGCTTTTCACTCCATAAATAATGCTGTAGTGAGCCCCTTTGTACCTCATTTTTCTAATCTGAAAATTCCCTTAGAAGGCATTCCTAGAAGTAAGGCTGGGCATGGTGGCTCACACTTGTAATCCCAGCACTTTGGAAGGCCAAGGTGGGCAGATCACTTGAGGTCAGGAGTTCGAAAACAGCCTGGCCAACATGGTGAAACACCATCTCTACTAAAAATACGAAAATTACCTGGGTGTGGTTGGTAGGTGTCTGTAATCCCAGCTACTTGGGAGGCCGAGGCAGGAAAATCACTTGAACCCAAAAGGAAGAGGAGGTTGCGGTGAACTGAGATTGCATCACTGCCCTCCAGTATGGGCAACAGAGCAAGACTCTGTCTCAAAAAAAAAAAAAAAGATATGAAGGCATTATTTCTGGTAAAACAGAATTCTGGAACCTCACTTCAGTCTTCACGCTCAAGTCAGGCCAAGGTGCTTCACCTCGGGTCTGATAGAGTGTTAAGTATCTAAAATAGGAGAAGACTTGGTAATTTTTGCCTAAATGTGGTTTCACGGCATGCAACTAGAAGATAACAGAATATGATGATATTCATTGTAATTACGATTTGGGGGTGTTTCAAGGTGATAATAATAATAGCTAACATGTATTGGGTGATTAACATGTCGTAAGCCCTATTTTAGTGTTTTACGTGTAATAGCTCCTTTTATCTCATAACAACTCTTGGAGGCAGGTACAGATGGGGAAGCTGAGGCACAGAGTAGTTCAATTACTTACCCAAGGTAAGTGGCTGAGCCAGGATTCGAACCCAAGCATTCTGGCTGTCAACCCATGCCCTTAACCACAACGGGAGCCTGCTTGGAAACAATCAAGTGGGGAAGAATCCTCACCCCTACACACAGGTGCATGGTTCAGTGCTGCCTAACCTCAGGGGAGACAGCGCCTCCCTGCTGGCTGTGGAGTTTCTGCCTCCTCCACCCCGGTTCCTCTTCCTGTGCACCTGCTGGGTGTGGACAGGACAGAAGCCCAGCTGCAGAGCACCCAATTCCGTATCTGGAAGGGAAGAGGAATATGAATCAGGCTGTTCTCAGGAATCTGCTTATTGTGGAGGAAATGAATGAGAAACACTGCTTCAGGGCTCTGGTAGTTTGTTTTGCATTCGTTTTCATTTTAAACAATTGCTAGAGCATTGGACTCGCCTAATTAGCAGAAATATTTCCTTACATTTTTCACAAATTCCACCTGTTGGTACAGTGCCAAGTGTGAGCCATAAAGTTGGAGTTACTAAAAAAGATGATGACCATGAATTATGAAGGAGGTGACTAATCATTAAAATTGTCATCATTTTATTTATTTAACTTTATTTTATTCATGTATGTATTTATTTTTATTTTGAGATGGAGTTTCCCTCTTGTTGCCAAGACTGAAGTGCAATGGCGCGATCTCGGCTCACCACAACCTCCGCCTCCCCGGTTCAAGCGATTCTCCTGCCTCAGCCTCCCAAGTAGCTGGGATTGCAGGCTTCTGCCACTATTTTTGTATTTTTAGTAGAGATAGGATTTCACCATGTTGGTCAGGCTGGTCTTGAACGCCTGACCACAGGTGGTCCACCTGCCTTGGCCTCCCAAAGTGCTGGGATTACAGGTGTGAGCCACCACGCCAGGCCCATTGTTTTATTTTTAACTGACATATAATAATTGTACATATTTATGGGATACATAGTGATGTTTCATTATATATAATGTACAGTGATCAGATCAGTATAATTAGGCAATCCATCATCTCAAACATTTATTATTTCTTTGTGCTGGGAACATTCAATATCCTCCTTCTAGCTTTTTGAAAATGTCAGATATTATTGTTAACTATATTCATCCTACAGGGGTTTAGACACCAGAACACATTCCTGTGATGCAGGTGTGATTTTATTTTCCACACTTTTATTTTGGATTCAGGGGTAGTTGTGCAGGTTTGTTATATAAGTAAACTCGTGTCATGGGGGTTTTGTTGTACAGATTGTTTGGTCTCCCAGGTACTAAACCTGGTATCCAATACTTGTCTTTTCTGCTCCTCCCCTTCCTCCCTCCCTCCACCCTCAAGTAGGCCCCAGTGCCTGTTGTTTCCCTCTTTGTGTCCATGTGTTTCTCATCATTTAGCTCCTACTTATAAGTGAGAACATGTAGCATCTGGTTTCCTGTTTCTGTGTTAGTTTACTTAAGATAATTAGGCCTTCAGCTCCACCCATGTTCCTGCAAAAACATGATGTCATTCTTCTTTATGGCTGCATAGTATTCCATTGTGTATATGTAGCACATTTTCTTTATCCAGTCCACCACTAATGGGCATCTAGGTTGATTCCATGTCTTTGCTATTGTGAATAGTGTTGCAGTGAACATACACGTGCATGTGTCTTTACAATAGAATGATTTCTATTCCTTTGGGTATATACCCAGTCATGGGACGGCTGGGTCAAATGGGATGGCTGCTTTTAGCTGTTTGAGAGATCATTACACTGCTTTCCACAATGGTTGAACTGATTTACACTCCCACCAACAATGCATAAACATTCCCTTTTCTCTGCAACCTCGCCAGCCTCTGTTACATTTTGATTTTTAAATAATTGTCATTCTGACTGGTGTGAGATGGTATCTCATTGTGGTTTTGATTTGCATTTCTCTAATGAGCAATGATATTGAGCTTTTTTCATATGCTTTTTGGCTGCATGTATGTCGTCGTCTTCTTCTTTTTTTTTTTTTTTTCTTTTTTGAGATGGAGTCTCTCTCTGTCGCCCAGGCTGGAGTGCAGTGGCGCGATCTCAGCTCGCTGCAACCTCCGCCTCCCGGGTTCAAGTGATTCTTCTGCCTCAGCCTCCCAAGTAGCTGGGACTACAGGCACACGCCACCATGCCCAGCTAATGTTTGTATCTTTAGTAGAGATGGGGTTTCACCATATTGGCCAGGCTGGGTGTGTCTTCTTTTGAAAAGTGTCTGTTCATGTCCTTTACCCATTTTTTAATGTTTTTTTTCCTTATATATTTAAGCTCCTTATAGGTGCTGGATATTAGACTTTTCTCAGATGTATAGTTTGCAGAAATTTTCTCCCATCCTGTGGGTTGTCTGTTTATTGACAGTTTCTTTTGCTGTGCAGAAGCTCTTTAGTTTAATTAGATCTCATTTGGCAATTTTTGTTTTCATTGCAATTGCTTTTGGTGTCTTTGTCATGAATTCTTTGCCCATGCCTACATCCAGAATGGTATTGCCTAGGTTGTCTTCCAGGGTTTTTATGGTTTTGGGTTTCACATTAAGTTTTTTTTTTTTTTTTTTTTTTTTTTTGAGACGGAGTCTCGCTCTGTCACCCAGGCTGGAGTGCAGTGGCGCGATCTCGGCTCACTGCAAGCTCCGCCTCCCGGGTTCACGCCATTCTCCTGCCTCAGCCTCCCGAGTAGCTGGGACTACAGGCGCCCACAACCACGCCCGGCTAATTTTTTTTTTTTGTATTTTTAGTAGAGACGGGGTTTCACCGTGGTCTCGATCTCCTGACCTTGTGATCCGCCCGCCTTGGCCTCCCAAAGTGCTGGGATTACAGGCGTGAGCCACCGCGCCCGGCCACATTAAGTTTTTAATCCATCTTGAGTTAGTTTCAGCCTTCTGCATATGGCTAGCTAGTTATCTCAGCACCATTTATTGAATAGGAAGTCATTTCCTCATTGCTTGTTTTTGTCAGCTTTGTTGAAGGTCAAATGGTTGTAGGTGTATGACCTTATTTCTGGATTCTCTATTATGTTACATTGGTCTATTTATCTGTTTTTGTACCAGTGCCATGCTGTTTTGGTTATTGTAGCCCTGTAGTATAGTTTGAAGTCAAGTAATGTGATACCTCCAGCTTTGTTCTTTTTGCTTAGGATTGCCTTGGCTATTCTGTCTCTTTATGGTTCCATATGAATTTTAAAAGTCTTTTTCTAGTTCTGTGAAAAATGTCATTGGTAGTTTAATAGGAACAGCACTGAATCTGTAAATTGCTTTGGGTAGTATGCCCATTTTAACAATATTGATCCTTTATATCCATAAGCATGGAATGTTTTTCCATTTGTTTGTGTCATCTCTGATTTCTTTGAGCAATGTTTTGTAGCTCTTATTATAGAACTCTTTTACCTCCATGGCTAGTTCTATTCCTAGGGATTTTATTATTTTTGTGGCAATTGTGAAAGGGATCATGTTCCTGATTTGGCTCTTGGCCTTGCTGTTTTTGGTGTAGGGATGCTAATGATTTTTTTGTATGTTCATTTCGTATCTTGAAACTCTGCTGAAGTTGTTTATCAGCTTAAGGAGCTTTTGGACCAAGACCATGGGGTTTTCATTTTTTCTTTTCTTTTTTTTTTTTTTTTTTTTTTTGAGACAGAGTCTCACTCTGTTGCCCAGGCTGGAGTGCAGTGGCAAGCTCCACTCTCAGCTCACTGCAAGCTCCACCTCCCAGGTTCACGCCATTCTCCTGCCTCAGCCTCTCGAGTAGCTGGGGCTACAGGTGCCTGCCACCACACCCGGCTAATTTTTTGTATTTTTAGTAGAGACGGAGTTACACTGTGTTAGCCAGGATGGTCTCAATCTCCTGACCTCGTGATCTGCCCACCTCGGCCTCCCAAAGTGCTGGGATTACAGGTGTGAACCACCACGCCCAGCCGACCAATACTGTGGGGTTTTCTAGCTATACAATCATGTCATCTGCTAAGAGAGATAGTTTGACTTCCTATTTTCCTATTTGGATGCCCTTTACTTATTTCTTTTGCGTGATTGTTCTGACCCTAACTTCCAATACTATGCTGAATAGGAGTGGTGAGAGAGGGCATCCTTTTCTTGTGCCAGTTTTCAAGGGGAGTGCTTCCAGCTTTTGCCCATTCAGCATAATGTTGGCTGTGGGTTTGTCATAGATGGAGCTTATTATTTTGAGGTATGTTCATTCAATACCTAGTTTGTTGAGAGTTTGTAACATGAAGAGGTGTTGAATTTCATTGAAAGCCTTTTTCTGCATTTATTGAGATAATCAAGTGGTTTTTGTCTTTAGTTCATTTTATGTGATGAATCACATTTATTGATTTGTGTATGTTGACCCAACCTTGCATCCCAGGGATAAAGCCTACTTGATTGTGGTGGATAAGCTTTATAAGGTGCTGCTGCTGTGTATTTTGATGAGGATTTTTGCATCAATATTCATCAAGAATATTGGCCTGAAGTGTGTGTGTGTGTGTGTGTGTGTGTGTGTGTGTGTGTGTGTGTCTGCCAGGTTTTGGTATCAGAATGATGTTGGCCTTATAGAATGAGTTGGGGAGGAGTCTTTCCTCTTCAATTTTTTTGGAACAGTTTCAGTGGAAATGGTATCAGCTCTTTATGTATCTTGTAGAATTCGGCTCTGAATCTCTCTGTTTATAGGCTTTTTTTGGATGATAGGCTATTTTTACTGATTTAATTTTGGCGTTTGTTATTGGTCTGTTCAGGGATTCAGTTTCTTCCTGGCTGTTGTAGGAGAGTGTATGTGTCCAGGAATTTTTCCATTTCTTCTAGATTTTCTAGTGTGAGTACATAGAGGTGTTCACAGTAGTCTCTGATGGTTTGTATTTCTGTGGTGTCAGTGGGTAATATCCCCTTTGGTATTTCTAGTTGAATTTATTTGGATCGTCTCTCTAGTTTTCTCTATTAATCTAGTGAGCAGTCTATCTCTTATTAGTTTCTTTTTTTTTTTTTTCAAAAAACAAACTCCTAGATTCATTGATCTTTTGATTTTTTTTTTTTTTTTTGATGGAGTCTCACACTGTCGCCTAGGCTGGAGTGCAGTGGTGCAATCTCGGCTCACTGCAACCTCTGCCTCCCAGGTTCAAGCAATTCTCCTGCCTCAGCCTCCCAAATAGCTGGGATTACAGACACACACCACCACACCTGTCTAATTTTTGTATTTTTAGTAGAGATGGGATTTCACCATGTTGGTTGGGCTGGTCTCGAACTCCTGACCTCAGGTGATTCACCCACCTTGGCCTCCCAAAGTGCTGGGATTACAGGCATGAGTCACAGGGCCCAGCCATGAATTTTGTGTGTGTGTGTGTGTGTGTGTGAGTCTCCTTCAGTTCAGCTCTGATTTTGATTATTTCTTGTCTTTTGCTAGCTTTGGGGCTGGTTTGCTCTTATATCTCTAGTTCTTTTGGTTGTGCTATTAGGTTGTTAATCTGAGATCTTTTTAACTTTTTGATGTGGGAATTTAGTGCTATAAATTTTCTTCTTAACACTGCCTTAGCTGTGTCCCAGAAATTCTGGTTATTTTATCTTTGTTCTCACCAGTTTCAAAGAATCTCTTGATTTCTGCCTTAATTTCATTATTTATCCAAAAGTCATTCAGGAGCAAGTTGTTTAATTTTCATGTAATTGTATAGTTTGAGTGATTTTCTTAGTCTCGATTTCAATTTTTATTGAGCTGTGGTTGGAGAGTGGCTGGTATAAGTTCAGTTCTTTTGCATTTGCTGAGGATTGTTTTATGTCTGAGGGTGTGTTCAATTTTAGTGTATGTGCTATGTGTGATGAAAAGAACGTATATTTTGCTGGTTTTGGGTGGAGAGTTCTATAGCTTTCTATTCTATAGATATAGTTCTACAGATGTGTAACAGATTCATTCGGTCTAGTGTTGATTTGAGGTCTTGAGTGTCTTCGTTAATTTTCTACTTCAGTGATCACTGTCAGTGGGGTGTTGAAGTCTCCCACTATGATTGTGTGGGAGTCTAAGAGCTTGCTTTATGAATCTGAGTGCCCCTGTGTTGGGTGCATATCATTTAGGATAGTTAGGCCTTCTTGTTGAATTGAGGCCTTTACAATTATGTAATATCCTTCTTTGTCTTTTTTGAACTTTATTGGTTTAAAGTCTATTTTGTCTGAAATTAAGATTGCAGACCCTGCTTTTTTCTGTTTTCTATATGTTTGGCTTCCATCCCTTTATTTTGAGCCTGTAGGTGGCAGTGCATGTGGGATGGGCGACTTCCTTTTTCTTTCTGTTTGTTTGTTTAGAGGCTCTTTTAAGATTGGTGCAGGATATTGTCTCATCCTTTAAGCAGTCCTACATTTGGTAAGTCCAGTCACACAATAAGGTTTGAGGAGCTCATCACGAATGAAATGCACAATTATATAATCTTTTCAATTCCTACACTAGTAGGTGGAGGACAGGGGATCAAGAAGGCAGAGGTCACACCAACTGGGCTTGTGACCGCGAGTAGGTGCTAGCTAATTCTGAAAGCCACTGGATCTTGTCTCTTCTCTTTCTGTCTTCTAGGATGGCAGTGCTCCCTATGGGGCCAGGTACGTGGGCTCCATGGTGGCTGACGTGCACCGCACCCTGGTCTATGGAGGAATCTTCCTGTACCCAGCCAACCAGAAGAGCCCTAAGGGCAAGGTAATTCTCCCTTGTCCACCGGATGTGCATCGGGTCAGGGAGGAGGGGAGCTCCCTCCCCTCACGCCTGCTGTTTGGCTACTGCACTGCTTCATGGCATGTCTGTGTGAAGACGGGCAGGGGAGGAAAAATACAGGGAGCTGTATTTCCCTTGAGTGAGTCTCCAGGCTGTGGGAGGTTTGAAGAAGGAGGCAAACAGGCTGACGTTATGTGACTGGTGATTCTCACTGGTCTTACCCCTCCAGCCTCCCACCCACCATTCACCGGAAGCCTGCTGTGTGTCTCTCTCTCCACAGGCTACATCTGACTTTTAGCTTCAGCACCAGCTGATTTGGTAGCATGGACCCCATAAGGAGCCTAATAAAAACTTATCAACACACTTCCCAGAACAAATGCATGTAAATGTACACATTACATACACGTTTACATGCGTGGTGGCGCATTACACATTGAGGGGGTTCACTGATGCCCTGGGGTTCACCCAAATATCCCCTAGAGAATTTCCAAACCCTAGAATAAGAACTTCTGCTCAGAACTCAGCCAATATATCTGGAAAGGTAGTTCCTGGAAGGTCTAATTGCAATTTAATGATGCAAAACTGAAAATACTTGTATTATCAAGTGAGAATCTTATGATCCAGCTGTCTTGCATAGAACCTCCCATAAAAATGCATCTGAATTTTAGCCGATCACAGAAATAGTAGGTAAGTAGTCAAATCAAATAAAGGCCTCTGTTTTCTCTGACACACCAACAACCAGCAACACATTTTTCTGTCTCTCAGAGTCACCTTGAGATTTGAGTTATTCGAATGCTAAGAATCAAAGCCATGCTGAGAGATCTAACACAGCACACTGAAGCCAGAGAGACTCTAATAGGTTGGTGTATCAGGTGTTTCTCTCCGTGTGAGTGCTTAGCCCGAGTGTGTTCACCCACTGAGCTAAGAACACTGATAAGCCTGCAGAAGAGGCGCTGAAGGGAAGCTAAGTGCCACGGAGGACTAAGTGAGGCAGGTAGAAGACATGGAAATTCTTTTTTGTTTTTTTTTGGGGGGGGGACAGAGTTTTGCTCTGTTGTCCAGGCTGGAGTGCAGGGGCGTGATCTCGGCTCACTGTAAGCTCCACCTCCCGTTTTCACGCCATTCTCCTGCCTCAGCCTCCCGAGTAGCTGGGACTACAGGTGCCGCCACCATGCCAGGCTAATGTTTTGTACTTTTAGTAGAGATGGGGTTTCACCATGTTAGCCAGGATGGTCTCGATCTCCTGACCTCATGATCTGCCCGCCTTGGACTCCCAAAGTGCTGGGATTACAGGCGTGAGCCACTGTGCCCGGCCAAGATGTGGAAATTCTTAGGACCACTCTGGTCACTTACTCAGTTACACTGGGGAGAACATAAAGATCAATTACTACTGAGTCAGAAAATACCCACATGGGATCACATACTCATATCCTGTAAGCACACGTCACTCCATAGATAGATCTGCGTTTGCTGTGCATAACCACCACCCATTCTGAAACTTCTGTTGGATCCTGATCTCTGCGTTTCTGCTGTCATGGTCCCTGTGCCCACCTCTGTGTGTGTGTCTGTGCGTGCATGTGCACATTCCTATGCTGTGTGTGCCTGCATCTGTATAGCTGTGTAGATTTAATTGCAGAGAAAGTACAGGTCATGGTCGGGTGTGGTGGCTCACGCCTGTAATCCCAGCACTTTGGGAGGCCGAGGCAGGCAGACCACGAGGTCAGGAGATCCAGACCATCCCGGCTAACATGGTGAAACCCCGTCTCTACTGAAAATAATGATAATAAAAAAATTAGCTGGGCATGGTAGCACATGCCTGTAATCACAGCTACTCGGGAGGCTGAGGCAGGAGAATCGCTTGAACCTGGGAGGTGGAGGTTGCAGTGAGCTGAGATCACGCCACTGCACTCCAGCCTGGGAGACAGGGCGAGAGTTTGTCTCAAAAAAAAGAAAAAAAAAATTAGCTGGGCGTGGTGGCACATGCCTGTAGTCCCAGGTACTCGGAGGCTGAGGCAGGAGAATGGCTTGAACCTGGGAGGTGGAGCTTGCAGTAAGCCGAGATCGTGCCACTGCACTCCAGCCTGGGCGATAAAGTGAGACTCGGTCTCAAAAAAAAAAAAAAGTACAGGTCACATGTCACATGGCCTGCAGGCCAAGGTGCCATGAAGTCCTGGGCATTTTGGTATTGAATTTCTTACAACAGGGGCATCTGAGGTCAGAGCAAAAGTAACTTGGCTCCAAGACAAGCACATTATGTACTAAGGCTGAGCTTTTTTTGGTTAAAGTATTTGAATCAACAGGGTAATTGATTACAGTCTGAGACTTTATTGTCTGATACCCCAAATCCCCCCATAAAAGGGGAGAAAAATGCTGAGCGCTACAGGCTGTCAAGGTGAGGGTCTCCTTGGCTAGACTGTCCTGGACAGCGTGGCCTCCCGTGTCCCTCCTGTGGGTGATGAAGGACAGAACTATCTGCCCCCAGACAGCCCGCATGCACCACAACTTTTTTACACCCTTCTGGGCACCCATTACTTTAAGAGCCAGAGGTCTAGGGTGAGGGCATCTTACACTGTCTGACCAAAATGGCATAAATACCCCCACGGAGTCTTCACCTACTTTCTCTTGAATGCCTGGATCTCCAGCCTAGACCAAATATATCGCGTTTCTCTCCTTAATATATATAATACATACAATAGAAAAAATATATAACAACATATAATATATAAATATATAATATGATATATAATAATGTAATAACATATAAATATATAATAGAAAACCATAGAAAAAATTCACCATAATATATGACTGTTTCTGAAAGTAGTTTAAACGTATCACCAAAACGGACTGGAAGAAAAGAATGGTAAGGAAAGGCTGCACACAGCTGGGCCAACCATTTTGTAAGGTGATAGTGGAGAATGAACTTCTGGGAAGTCACAGGTTGCACTGATGTGGAGAAAGGAGAAGATGATACTGAGTCATGCACAGCAGCAGGGCCTTCGGCCAGAACGACACCCTGAATCTAAGGTGATGGGGGTGTGTGTCGTGCGTCAGGCCGGGGGTATCATGACGTCATCACAGAAATAGACCTAAAAGGTCCATTCAATCCAACCCCATTCATTTCAATTCACCGCGTACTCACAGGACAGAGGCAGCGTCCTGCCAGTTCTCACGTGCCTGCAGGAGGGTTAGAGAAGGCCCTTCCTTCCTCCGAACAGGCTCAGCCCGGGGTCTTGTGCAGAGACTGGCAAGCAGGGCACAGGCTGATTTCAACCCAATTTCTGCCCTCGGCTGGGACTCCTAGTGCAGGAAACACAGTGGCCTTGCTTGGACACTTCCTTTTTTTTTTGAGACAGGCTCTCACTCTGTCTCCTAGACTGGAGGGCAGTAGTGTGATCACAGCTCACTGCGGCCTTGAACTCCGGGGCTCAGTTGATCTTCCCACTTCAGCTTCCTGAATAGCTGGGATCACAGGTGTGCACTACCACACCTGGTTAATTTTTAAATTTTTTGTAGAGATGGGGTCTCACTATCTCAAATGGGATCTCAACTTCCTGTACTCAAGTGATCCTTTTGCCTTGGCCTCCCAAAATGCTGGGATTACAGACAGGAGCCAACACTTTCAATGTGTCAGGCACTACTGAGAGTGGAGATAGTACAGGGACCAGCTAGGATGGACAGCAGCCTAGGGAGGAAGCCAGGCACTAAAGAGGCCTCAGTGGGATGAGTTGTACCAGAGGGGAAGTACAGGATGCAAACGATGGGATTTCACTTAGTCTAAAGGGGCAAAAGACAAGACCGTTGAAACACCAGCAAACTAGTTAGAAAAGTCAAAGCTTAAGATGTGGAGTTCCTCCACACAATCCCAGCCACTGTGGCTGTCTCCAGAGAGGCGACCCGGCATGCTCAAGGTGACCTTACTGTCCCATCCAAGCTTGACTCTTTACCAGCCTTGAGGTCTCACATACAAAGGCTTCCACCCAGGTCTGCAGCATCAGTTTGCCCTTGTTGAACCGAGAAATAGGAGCCTAGATCTCATATCTCCAAGTCAAGAGGCAGCTCCCTGGTAAGCACAAGGATCACAGGATGGGCAGATACCTGGCTCAGCCACCTGGGCAGAGGGGCCCCAAGGCTTCTGGATGAGTGCCATCTGATGCATCTGGCCTGCTGTAGGCTCTAAAGCTCGGGCCCTCTCTTGTGAGGGGCATGGTGCACTCATGCTAGCCAGATGGAAGCTCCACAGTGCAAACTGCTCCCCCAACTTTAGGGGCATGGCTCAGGACATTTGGCCACTTGCAGAGTTTATTCACCTGCCTCTGTTCCTCCACAGCTCCGGCTCCTGTATGAATGCAATCCCGTGGCCTACATCATTGAGCAGGCAGGAGGCTTGGCAACCACGGGGACCCAGCCTGTACTGGACGTGAAACCCGAGGCAATTCACCAGCGAGTCCCCCTCATTCTGGGGTCCCCAGAGGATGTGCAGGAATATCTCACCTGTGTGCAGAAAAATCAGGCAGGCAGCTAGTGAGCTTCACCCCACATGCCCTCTTCTCTTTGTCTTGTACCTTGTCTAAGGTCCCTAAATGGATGATAAACAGAGATGGTAGCGATGAGTATACAAAAGGTAAATCCACTTAATCACATACAGAAGAGCAACAACAAACTGCTTGTGACAGGTTTGGAAGCCACAGGCGATTCTGTGGTCAATGTGAAGGACTAGAAATAAAAACCCACACGTGGAAAGAGCGACTTTGGCTTGTCTTCTGTCAGAAACAGCAGCAAATATGGTTATAATTCTGTCAACCCACATAGTTGGCGGCTGTATGCTTGGGGGCAAAGAGCACACAGATTAGTTAAGAAATTGTCAGCCGGGCGCGGTGGCTCACGCCTGTAATCCCAGCACTTTGGGAGGCCGAGGCGGGCGGATCACGAGGTCAGGAGATCAAGAGCATCCTGGCTAACACGGTGAAACCCCGTCTCTACTAAAAATACAAAAAACTAGCCGGGTGTGGTGGTGGGCACCTGTAGTCCCAGCTACTTGGGAGGCTGAGGCAGGAGAATGGTGTGAACCCGAGAGGCGGAGCTTGCAGTGAGCCGAGATCGTGCCACTGCACTCCAGCCTGGGTGACAGAGTGAGACTCCATCTCAAAAAAAAAAAAAAAAAAAAAAAAAAAAAAAAAACAACAAGAAAGGATTTGTCTTGGCTGGCTTGAAATTTGAACCTAGTGTCTTATCCTGTAGTGATTACCTCCCTCACATGTAAATTTCCAACTTAATGTCTTAGAAGAGTATTTGTGTCTTATTTTGGATAAACTTGAGTTAGAAATCTCATGGCAATTAAATTCTGAAATTTCTGACTGAGCCTATTTTAGTAGTCTACAACTTGGATGACCAGTCACAGTTTGAGTGGAAAATGGGGTCACTTAATGTCAAAGCCAGAAACTAAATAGAGTCAATATTTAGAAATTAACTACTTTTCTCAACCTCTTCCCCTTGCATTTTCAGTTTTTGGGGAAACGTTTTAATCTATTCTAGGGACTAACTGGTGTACACTGGTTAAATGACTCGTCACTTGTCCAAATTATGTCAAGACTGGGGAGGGGGTGGCTTATGCATCTGAAATCTCATCTTGTTTTAGGAAGAATTGCTCTGAATATCTATGGACCTGGAGGCTAAGAAAGACATTCATGAAAGATGAACAAATCAAATCAAATCAAATCCAGAAGTATTTAAAGCAAAGATGCATCAGGAGAAAGTCAGGCTTAACCTAGAAATTCAAGAATGATTCAACACGGAAAAATCTATTCCAGTAATTCATTAGGTGAGGGGAAGGCAGTGGGGGGTGGGACCAGGCAAGGCTCTGGAGGAAGCAAGGCTCTCCTTTCCCACTTTAGCTCGGGCAGGGTGGGGCGTCGTTCTGTACGCGCATCGTTCCTCAGTCCAGCATGGCTTGGCAGCTTTAGCAGATGCAGCCAAATCTTATTACACAACCAAAACATTTTCACCTGCCCAAAAAGGAACAAAGATTTGCTTTGTTCTGGGAAGAATTCTGATTCTAATCAATGGGCTCTTAATACTTTCTTCGGCACTTGATCTGAAACTTATATACTATCGATCAAAACTGAAATCCTCACTTTGAAATATCTTTAGAATACCTTGATTTAGTGAGTTTGCCCCATGTAGTCTCAAGATGACACACCCGGAAGGAGAAGGCCTTGCTGGAAGCAGAGCTGAGAGGCAGCACCTTCAACCCCGGCCTCCTTGGTTTGATGTATGTGGTGGATGCTCAGGGAAAGATCGATGGGCCCTTCCTATGTGTTCTTAAAGCTGAGACTGTGGGTCCCTGCATATCAAAGCCAAGAACAGGGAACTAGGGGAGAGGCTGGGACTAGGGGAGAGGCTGGGACTAGGGGAGAGGCTGGGACTAGGGGAGAGGCTGGGAGTAGGGGAGAGGCTGGGACTAGGGGAGAGGCTGGGACTAGGGGAGAGGCTGGAACTAGGGGAGATGGCTGGGAGTAGCCATTCTCAGAGGCTATTTATCAACAGTTTGAAGGCATTCGTGGAATGGTGCCTTGGTGACCCTTCCACAGGCAGGGTCCACAAAGACCATCCGCTGGGCTCTGCCTGAGTGACCTGAGAACGCCTTCCGCTTGGTTACTCATTCTCTCCTGATGGACCGCCTTTCCAGTTTAAATGGTGGCATCTGTCTCAGAAGAAATCCAATTGTTCTTTCCATTTTCAAGGATTCCTGAGGACTTCACTCTGCAGGTCTGGCTCCACTGGGAACCTGGGAGCATTCAGGGAAGAGGTGGACTCCAACTGTACCTTGGGCAGATGGGCTCCAGCAACTGGGAGGCGGACCCATTAACACATCAAAAGAAGAAAAAGCCATAAGGCCATGTTAATAGGCACGTTTTAAAAAGAAGACAAGCTGGTTGGGCGCAGTGGTTCAAGCCTGTAATCCCGGCACTTTGGGAGGCTGAGGCGGGTGGGTCATGAGGTCAAGAGATCGAGACCATCCTGGCCAACATGTTGAAACCTCATCTCTACTAAACATACAAAAATTAGCTGGGCATGGTGGCATGCACCTGTAGTCTCAGCTATTCAGGAGGCTGAGGCAGGAGAATAGCTCAAACCCGGGAGGCGGAGGTTACAGTGAGCCGAGATCGCGCCACTACACTCCAGCCTGGAAACAGAGTGAGACTCCGCCTCAAAAAAAAAAAAAAAAAAAAAAAAGCTGTTTCAAATCAGTGAGAAAGAATGACTGGTGTGAAGGTTACTAGCTAGTCATTTGGGAAAATAAATAAAGCTTGACCCTAAAGTAGATTCCAGATGGATTATAGAAGTAAGCAATAAAAGTATCAAGCTGTTACAAAAGATACAGGGGAGCATATTTATGACCTTAAATGGGACCAAAATACACAGAGCAAAGGATATACAGGAAAGCCAGATGTAACTACATCAAAGTAAAAACAACACAACACAAAGTTAAAAGACAATTGATAGGTGAGGAGAAAATATTTGCAACATATGACAAAAATGAGCAGCGAGAATCCCACAAGTTAAGAGGAAAAAGATACGCCGGGCGCGGAGGCTCACGCCTGTAATTCCAGCACTTTGGGAGGCTGAGGCAGGCGATCACGAGGTCAAAAGATGGAGACCATCCTGGCCAACATGGTGAAACCCCGTCTCTACCAAAAATACAAAAATTAGCTGGGTGTGGTGATGGGCCTATAGTCCCAGCTACTTGGGAGGCAGAGGCAGGAGAATCGCTTGAACCGGGAGGCGGAGGTTGCAGTGAGCACAGATCGCGCCATTGCACTCCAGCCTGGCGACAGAGCGAGGCTCCGTTTCAAAACAAACAAACAAACAAAAGGCGGGGGGGTGGGGGGGAAGATAAACTATCCATAGAGAAATTACCTAAAGCTATGAAATTGCAAAAGTTTATTTAGTAAATGGTCCTGGCACAACTGGCTATTTTCCTGCAAGTAGAGAATGTGGACTCCTACTCCCCACATAACCCCCAAATAAATGGATAAAATGTATTAAACATAAAACCAAAACCAGTATGTATCTTGAAAGAGAATTTAGAAGAATATATTTTTAAATTAACTTGAGACAAAGAAGGGCTCTTAAACCAAAATAGAAATCTCCCGAATTTTTCCAATGTACTTATTTGACAACCTAAAATATCTGTAAATTATTTTCTGGCAAATAAATTCAAAAAACAAAGTTGAAGGGTGAAATAGACTGGGGAAAGAAACCTTCTCAATGCCTTTGAAAGATAAAATGTTAATATCCATAACACCCACAAAGCTTTCCAAAACTGGTTTTAAAAAAGGGCCTCCCCACCCCTCCCCGCGCATCCGCAGCCATCCGGGCCGGGACCCGCCACCCTGCGCCGCCGCCCCGGTGCCTTGACCCGCCAGGGCCCCGTTCCCCGGCCCACGTGTGCCCGGCCCGGCTGCTGGGTGGGGCTGGGACTACGCAGGCCCCGCGGGCTGGGAGGGCGCCGGGTTCGTCGCGCGAAATGCCGCCCAGCCTGACCCGAGGCGGCCCAGAGGGGACGCACCGCGGCTCCCGGCCCGCCGCCCCCTCCCGCTTAGCGGCCGGGAAGCGACACGCGCTGCTTTGGCCCTTGCTGGAGCTGCGAGGCGCACGGGGGGCGTGGCGGGGCGTGGCGGGCGCGGGGCGTGGCAAGGGGGGGCGGGCGCGGGGCACGGGGGCGTGGCGTGGCACGGGGGTGGGGCGGGGCGGGGGCGGGGCGTGGCACGGGGGGCGGGCGCGGGGCGTGGCGTGGCACGGGGGGGCGGGGCGGGGCACGGGGCGGGGCACGGGGGGCGGGCGCGGGGCGGGGCACGGGGGCGGGCGCGGGGCACGGGGGCGGGGCGGGGCCGGGGGCGGGGCGTGGGACGGGGCCGGGGAGCCCCAAGCAGACCCTCACTTACCTGAAACCGGCTCCTCAACGGCCGCCGCCCGCCTTTCCTTTTAGGGCCTGACTCCCGCCCTTCGTGTCCTACACCCTGTGTGCCCCTGGTGCGGGTGGGGACACCACGGCCCAAGCAGCTGGCCCCACTCGTGATCCGGGAGCCTGGTGCCAGCGGGACCTGGGATTTCCGGTCTGGCTGGTCTTGGGCCCCGCGGAGCCAGGTTGATGCCCCTCGCCTCCCCCCCAGGCCCTCGGATGCCCAGAACCTGTAGGCCGCACCGTGAACTTATTCTTAACCGAGGGCGTGCTGGGGGCACCCTGATGTGGCACCAAATGAAATGAACAAAGCTCCACAGTCCACAGGTCCCCCATCTGTCCCATCCCCCGGACTCCCACGGCCAGCGTTTCCCCACGGCCAGCGTTTCCCCCGGGGTAGACAGCACCGGTGGTGTTCAGTACGCCACAAGAGACACAAATGAACACGCCTTCTCAGCCCCGCCAGCACTTCTACCCTAGCCGGGCCCAGCCCACGAGCAGTGCAGCCTCCAGCCCCTGCCCGCCCTGGCCCAGCTGCCCATGTCTACCCTGCTGGATCCCTGGACAGGGATGTAGTACAGCGGTACAGGTTCAGCAGTACCCTGTGCAGCCAGGAGCCCCAGGCCTCTATCCAGGTGCAAGCCCTACAGAATTTGGGATCTATGCTGGCACCTACTATCCAGCCCAAGGGGTACAGCGGTTTCCCATTTGCGTAGCCCGCCCCCCCTCCCCTCCCCAGGGGTGCTGGGCACTGGGGGAGGAGCCTTGGCAAGCCCTTCCCTCCCTGGGCACCAGACCTTGGGCTTCTGGATGCCTGGGTTCAAGTATCTAGTTTTTCCTGTGGAAGATGTTTGGGATGTTCCCAGAAAATGGGGAGGGCCCTGGGGGGTCAGGATTGTATTACTAATCCCAGAAAGTCTGGGGTTCCATTTTTAGCGCAAGGCAGGCAACCCATGTGCCCCAGCCCAGCGGCCAGCCTGTGTGGGAAAGGGGAGTGGGGGCCTGAAGGAGTGAGGATCCTATTACCACAGCCTCCCCTGCAGCCAGCCAGGATGGCTGGTGTGGGCTGGACAGCAGGTACTACACTAGGGGCACTGGCGCCGACCTTGAGCCATGCATCTGATGCCTGTGAGAGTGATTTCTAGGAACCACTGCACGTGGGGGCAGATGAGGGAACCCCGACGTGGGACAGCCGAGGGTGACCCCAACACGGAGGGGGCCAGCTGTGTCCAGGCTCCACTGGATTCCGCAGAGGACAGAACACAGTGCTGACTGTAGGATGTGGGGTCACTGAGGGTTAGGATAGGCTGGGGTTGGGAGAGGGCCATGGTGCAGCAGCTGGGTCACATCCCACCTGCACCCCTCAGATGGCAGGACCTGGTCCTCTCCATTCCCACCCCGACCCGGTCAGTAACAGCCACGGGCCAGCAGCCCCTAGCAACCCCTCCCTCCCTGAACTGCAGAGGATGGGACGTACCACAGTCTCTTCCAGGCAAGAGCTGCTGTAGCTTTCTTTATCCTTGTGCTAGAAGCCCAGGGTGGCTGGGGTGTGGGCCCACTGTGGGGAGAGGGGCCTGAGAACAGTCCAGGGTGGGTGTCCACCTTCCTGCCCACTGTGGAGGCCTGAATCACCCCCAGTCACTCTCCCAATCCCCAGGAGCTCAGGGGCTTCCTGGAGCAAGCCACAGCTGATCTCCACCATGGGTAGGAGCTCCAGGCCAGGTCAACAGGGACTCCACAGAGGGGCCTGTGGGTTAGCAGCAGCTACTGGTGTCCAGATGGCCTCAGGGGTGGGGGTTAGACAGTCTGGAGGTCAGCAGGGAATTCAGCATGAGGTGGCCCTTAGGGTTCTGGCCCAGCAGCCCCAGGGGATGGCTCTGCACCGAGTCATGAAGCTTGCAGGCCGGGGCATTGGCCTCTCTCTAGCTGGGAGTGACGTCCATCACTGCTGTCATTAGCCTTCCCTCAATCAACCTGTCCCTGGGGTGGGAGCACAGTGGGTTCTGGAACCCTCAGGTCTCGGTTTTCCCTGCTGTAAAATGCACATGATAGTGAGGCTGTCATGAGGCCTGAAGGAGTTAAAATCTGCCATGTGCTCAGGATGGCACCTAGCTCGGCGCCTCCCAGCCTGGTGCCACCATCTGGCATCAGAGATGAAACACTTCTCCCAGACCCCCTCCCCTGGAACCCCCCGCACTCAGCTCTCCATCAGCCACCACCTCCAGGGTGGGACAAGGAGGCCCTGCACCTGATGGGGACCCAACAGTGCTGGGCAGCGCCACCTGGGTCTGGGCGATAATGGGAGCCTGAGTGTGGGGCCTGCATGGAGGGAGCCATTGTCTCTTGGGCCTCTTAATGGCTACTTCCCTAGAGTCCAGAGAAGCGCTGCTGCTCAAGGGGGGACAGCGCCAGCAGCTCCCTCTGGGGCTGGAGTGGGCACAGCATGGGGGTACCTTGCCCCCACCCACCTCCCATGAAGGTTCCTGGCTCTCCTGGGGGACTCCTCGCTACAGTGCTGAGGCTGACCCTGGGGCTGACCAGGCCCAGGATGGTGTTGGACCCCCTGCATCCCCCTGCAGCCGGCAGGGAGGGCTCTGCAGCCATCACCCACACACATCTGACCGCTCCCTGACTGTCGTTTCCAGGGTGGCAGGGAGTGAAGTCCCCACCCAATAACCTCCCCCAGTTCAGGGGCCTTTGCGTTCACCAGCAGCTGCCTCACTCCAGGTTTCCCCTGTGCTGGGGGTGATTGCAGGGAGATGATTCTTTGGTGTTCCCTGGGCAGGTCATTGCCTCAGCCCCTGCCTGGTGTCCTGGAGCAGCTTGGAGAAGTTACATGAACAGGAAACTAACTGTCTGCAGCCCCCAGGTGAGACTTGGCTGCTGTGTCCCGCTGCCTCTGCTCCTGGCTGTCAAAGCCCCATGGTAACAGCATCCAGGGCAAATTTAAATGGCACCCCAGAGAATAAGAGTGGGCCTGGGTATCACTGTCGTGACTGGTGGCTTGCGACAAGTAGCGTGGCTTCCGTGGTGATGGGAGGTGTCATTTCCCCTGAATCTGCACTGAAGAGAAGGTCCTGGAAGCTTTCGGGCCCACCCTCCAGGGTCTGGGTCTGTGTCTCTGGGAGTGGCCAGGTGGGCAGAAGAATCCTCGCTGCCCGGCAGTCAGGTTTGGAGCTGGGGAGGGCTGGGCCCAGTTAGCAATGAGCTTATCGCGGTGAACCAGAGCTCAAGATAAAGCGAGAGGCCCAGCCCAGACACCTCCTTCCCTGGTCCCAGCCCCTGTGCCTTGGCCTGTGTGGTGGAAGCCAGGCTGTCTCCTCCAGGAAGCCCTCCCTGCCCTGCCTGCTCACACACAACTTCTCCCAGATTTCTCCCCATCCAGGCTAAGTAGGATTCCCAAGAAGGCTCCACCCCCAGGCAACTGCCTGCAGTCAACATTGTCACCTCCCCCAGTGAGCGGCAGTGGTGTTTTTCCTCTTCAGCAGTGGCCTCTGGAGGGGTCTCAGCAGGTGGGGAAGAGCGGTCTGAGTTAGCCCCACGTGAAAGGCAGCGGATGCCTCTCCTCCCACCTGCTGACCCTACCCAGCTCACAGAACTGCCCAACTAGGTGTCCTTGTGTTTGATTGGGGGGAGGGGCTGTTACCTCCCAGTCCCCTCCAGGCTGAGACAAGAGCCCTGTGGGCCTGGATCTTGGAGATGGGACTCCCACCCACATGCTCTCCGGGGGGGTCCATCCTGGGGGGTGCAGAAGGGAGCTCCATGTACCCCTGGCGATCTGTCCATCTGAGCCTCAGGGGTCCTGGGCACTGAGCTGGGCTGGTCTGGGCTGGGCTGAGCTGGGGTATGCACCGTCATTGGGGACAGAGAGGGGATGCTGAAGCAGGTGCTTCTGGGTGGCGCCTGCCTGGAGGATCACCCCAGCAGGTGCACCCAGCAGCTGGATGAGCCTCTAGTAGAGAAAGTGCCCTGTCCGGGGGGTATGTGAGCTGAGGCTGGGGGCCTGGAGGTGCAGGGGGAGGAGTTGGGGAGATGCAGAGGTCCGAAAGATGTCCCAAGGCTGTAAGACCCTGGTGAAGGAATGGAAGAGCCAGCACTGGTGGGGAAGCGGGGAGGGGGAGCTGGATGGCCTGGCTCTGGGCTGGACACATGGTCTGCGCCCACACCTGAGCTGTGCTGTGGAGCCCCAGTCCCCACCTGGGCACGTCCTGTCCTCTGAGGCACAGGGATTCCTGGTCCTCGGCTCTAACCCCTCATCTCCCACCATTGGGATGATGAGTCCGTAGGCAGAGCCAGCCTCACAGGGGACCCAAAGGCCAGTTCAGACGGACAGCAAGTCAAGGTCCCACTGGGCACACACACTCCGTGCAGAAAGCTAACGTGCTGTTTGTTTGGGGACTTGGCGGGGAAGCACCGTGGCAGCGGCTCACTGGTAGCCAGCCAACTGCAGGATGGTGGGGTAGCGAGTACGATGGGCCATGCACTTCTGGCGGTCGATGAAGAGACTGTTGGTCATGGCGGTGATGTCCTTCTCCAGGCTCATGTGGGTGTCCTCGAGGTTGCGCAGGGACTGCTCTGCTTCTAGAAGCTTCTCCCGCAGCGCTGCGAGGGACATGTTCAGTTCCTCCACCTCGCTCACCAGCCTGGGGGTGTTGGGGAGTATGAGCCGGGGCTGGGGAGGGCAGAAGTATGCACCTTCTGGGGTGCAAGGAACCCAAAATTCCCAATGGGAGCTGGCAGGAGGTCCTGGGAAGACTCCGTGAAAGGACCCCTAAGGGAACCCCACCAGGAAAGTGGCTCTAGGGCAGAGCACAAATTACGAGGGTCCTCCCAGGGAGCGCGGGTGAGTGCGAATGAGTGACCCGCATGCGATCTCGACCCGGGCAGGACAGGACTGGCCCTCAGCCCACCAGGCTCGGTTCTTTCCATTCCTGATGTTTAACGGAGGGAGGCCCCCAGTTCCTTGAAGGAACTGAGGGGCAGGGAAGAAAGGTACTTAGGCTCAGCAGGGGCCACTGGGCATCCGTTAACAAGGGAAACAAAAGGACGGCCCATCTATGCCTGGAGCCCGAGTGTAGGTCATACTTTCCACCAGAGGTGTGGACAGCACCCTCAGGGCAGCAGGGAACGGCCCTGCCTGGCTTCTCTGACCCTGTGGCCTCCTGGAGCTCACCTTGTCTGCAGGAGCTTCCTCCCGGGAAGATGAGGCAGCACAGGGTGGGGTGAGACCACGTGGGCACAGGTCCCTGGCACTGGGAGCCCCCCACCCATCACCTGCCCAGGGTCATGTCCATGTCTGTGTGTTTAAGGTGTGCTTGCGCGTGGCCCCAAAGTCTCCCTCCCCTCTCAGCACCTGCGGGGGATGTGTGTGGGTGGTTGGGGTGTTTATTGGAGGCTGAGATCAGAGAGTAGCAGGGAGGCGGTGGACCGGGCCACCTGGGACTGCCTCAGAGGCACAGGCAGCACCTGAACTGGGCTGCATCGCGGCACAGCTCCACGTTGGGCCGGTGTGAGCGCAGGTACAGCCGGGTCTGGGCGACGCGCAGAGGGGCCTCCTTGTCCTTGATGGCCTGCTTCAGTGCCGCCACGTTGTGCTCCTGATCTGTGATTTCCCGCAGCGTCTGCAGACAGGACAGTGCCCTTGGGCCTGTGCCCTCATGCCCGGGCATATGGAATGCCGATACCAGGCTGGTCCTGCCCAGGTCCTGGGGCTGTGTCCAGACGGCAGTCCTGACCAGTGGCCCCAAGGAGGCATGAATGAAGGAACAATGTGCACGGGGCCCCAGCGGGCTCTGGAAGAGTCAGGCAGCCTGTTGCCCCTTAGCTCTGGTCCAAGAACTACCATCTTTGGTGGTCACCAGGACCCGAACCCTGCTCAAGGACTGGGCACTCAGAGGCGGTAAAGGCCACGCTGAGACCCTAGATCAGAGCCCTGCCTGCCAGGCCAGGACTCTCGGGGACCCCTGGGAGGTCAGTGCTCCCCAGACCACCTGCTGCCTCCATCCTCCCCACAGCTCCTCCTGTTTAGTCATGGGGGTGGCAACACCCGTCCATCATACCCAGCTTCGCCTGGTTTTACACAGGTTTACGGAGAGGTGGCACTTGCTTCTGGGGTCCCTCGGGGTAAGTGGGGCAGAGGAGAGCGGCGCTGAAGGCCCAGGCCAGGTGATGCGGGGGGGCAGAGTGGTGGGCAGGCGCGGGAGCCGTCTTGGGGGTTCAGGGCGCCCCACCTTGTGCAGGTGCTGCTGCAGCTTGTGCCGCGCGTCCTCCAGCTCCTCGCAGCGGCGCCCGAAGGCCAGGTTCACAGCGTCGCACTGCAGCCGCAGGTCCTCGGAGGTGTCGCGAAGGATGCAGTCCACCAGCACCCGCAGGTTGGCCGAGGCCAGGCGCTCGCGCTGGGCGCGGCACAGATTGTCCTGCGTGAACTTGGCCCAGGTCTCCGGGGTGGAGGCGCTGCGGGTTGGGGGACAGCCAGGGGATGGCGGGGAGGCTCTGCCAAAGGCCGGGGGTCCTGCCGCGCCCCCATGCCTTGTCCGCGCCCCGTGCTCCTGGAGGACCCGCATGGACTCCGATGCAGCCCGTGCCGCCCCACGAAGCCCAGTCCCCCAGGCTCCCTGTCCCCGAGTGCCCCCCGGCCCACAACTCCCCTGAGTCCCCCCACACCCTACCCACTTCGGGCGCTTAGTCCCCTCGCGTCCCCGCGATCCCGTTCCCAGCACCGCCGCCCCCGAGGCCGCCTCTGCAGCACCTCCGGCCCCCGAAGCCCCCCTTCCCTAGTACCCGGCGCCCGGGTCCCCTCCCTGCGCCCGGGAGTTTGCTGCGCTCCAGTGGGCGGTGGTCGCGCGCCCTCTGCTGGCCGTGGACGGAAACGCAGTCCTGCCGGCGCCTGGGGCTGACCCACCCCACCCTGTCCGGTCTCCCCGCGACCTGGCTGTGCACGCGCTGGGCACTTGAGGGGGTCTTGCTCGCTTGCTCATGCCCGGGTAGAAAGTTTCCCAAGTACCCTCGGGGGCGAGGGCCTCTGGGCCAGGCTGGGGGAAGCAGCCCCGCTGAGGCCCCCAGGTGGAGGGAGGCAAGTCCACAGCCAGGGCAAGCGCGGGGTCAGAGCTGGGGCCCACCTCTCTTGGAAGGCGGTGGAGTGAGGATGAGCCTGCACCTGGGTGCTCTGGCTGTGGTAGCGCCCGCAGGTCTCATCGATGTTGTAGGCCTCCACCTTGTCTGACCAGTCCATCTCGCAGGTCTCCTTGCGCTCCCGGTTCAGTCTGGGGCGAGGTGGGGCAAGGCCTTGGTATGTGCCCAGGGAGGGCCCTGCTGGGGACTGTCCCTGCTGCAGGCTGGGCCCCAGTGCCCGCTTCAGGAGGGAACTCTGGGCCAGCCCCTCCTGGGCAGCCCTCATGCTCAGCAGTGACCAGGAGCAGCCGCCCAGACTGGGAGGCTGCAGAGCAGACGTGGGACTGGGCTCTGGCCACTCAACCTCAGGCTGGGCCGGAACCTCCCCCACCCAGCCCTGCGCTCCCACTGTGACCTGGGGCAGCCCCTGCCCTGGGCCTCAGGGTCCTGTCGTTCAATGCCTTGCCCCAGGACCAGCCGTGGGTGGGGTCAGGAGTCATCCCTTGGGCAGCCCTCGACCCACCGGATCTGGCTCACAGCTTGCATGATGGTTCTCTTCAGCAGCTCCTGAATGTTCCGGATGAGCTCGGCTTCCTGAGGAAGGAGACGCCCTGAGCACCAGAGCCAGTCCCTGGTGAGGATCCCAGCAGGCCCAGCTGCTGCCGGCCTTGGTCAACACCTGAGCCACCCGAAGGAGCTGAGTGCCGGGGCCTGAGCTCTGACTGTGCAAGTTCTGCTGTCTCACTGGGTTTATCTTGGGCTTTTGGGCATCCTCCTTGGTGAGTTGTAAGTGGGGTGTTTTCCTCCAGGGCCTTCCATGGGCTGCTGGGAAGGTCCCTCAGCGGCAGTTCCCACGCCCCAGGCTTTAGGAGTCATCACTGCTGCTCCCTCAGTGCACCCAGGAACATTGGCCTGCCCCTGGTGCCTGAACAGCCCCTGAGGAACCAAACTCTAGGGGCCTAGATGCCTGCCCAGGCTGCCCCTCAGGGATCTGTGCTGGGAAAGGCCATGCTCACAGCAAGAACAGGAGGAGGATCCTGTGTTTCTTCTTACTGCCTGGCCAGTTTAATTTTCTGTGTGTAGGAACAAGCCTTTTCCCTGTGATTGGGGTCTTTGCCTTGACCACCGGCTACCTCCGTGTGTGCCAGGGCCCAAGTCCTGCGCCCCTCTGTCCCTGGGTTTGCCTCTTCCTGCACTCCTGCACTGTCAGTGTCTCCATTACTGGGCAGGTGCCCTTGGTGCGGGCAGAGGGTTTGCGGGAGCTGTAGGAGTTCTTGAGGCACTGAGGGGGTGCAGGGGGAGGGGCCTGGGGAAGGGAGGGAGGAGGGAAGGCATGAAGGGAGGAATGAACTCAAGGGTTCTTGCCTGAGCTTGGGGGTGTGGCAGGAGAACAGCTGCCCCCACCCCACATCTTTCATGAATGTCTACGGGCTTGCAGTGGTTCTCAGGGAGGCCCCAGGCTCTGAGAGGTCAGAGAATTCTCCAGAGCCAGCATCAGGGCCAGGACTGAGTTACTTTCTCACCCTATGAGGCTGCCTCACTGACAAGCTGGGCTGGATTCGGAAGTTACAGGGACATGGAGGAGAGGGGACCTACGGGTGCAGATCTTTGTTGCCCGGGCTCTGTATAGGATGAATGGGAGCGGTGGCTCCCAGCCCACCCCACCCTAGCTGTCCACACCCGCAGTGCTAGTTCAGGCCTGGGTTTCCACCTCGGGAACAACTGTCCCAGCCAGCTATGGTCTTTGGGGAGGTGCCTTGTGGCTCAGTTCAGGGAGCCCAGGGTGAGGATGACTGTGCCAGCACTCAAAGGGATTGGAGGACAAAGCCCAGAAGAGGAACAACTGCTTGGGAGTCAGGGGCCCTCCAGGGCAAAGCTGCCTCCTGGTCTGTCACTAAGGGGCCAGATTTCGGGACTCAGGGTTCCCAAGTGCAGAGGGCTGGGCTCCCGCATGCCTGCAGCAGCCACCTGGCTTGTCCACATGAACTGCCGGGCCCCTCCTCTCTGCGCCCACAAGTCCCGGCCACCAAAGGCTGCTGGCACCTTCAGCAATTCCGTCTCCACATAGTCGCGCACGAGGTTGGGGTGCTGGCGGCGCTCACGACACTGCAGGTTGTCAGTGGCGATGGAGAAGGGCACCTCCGTGGCGTCCAGGGCGCGCTCCAGCCTCTGCCTCTGGGCCAGCAACAGGTCGGTCTCCGCAGCCAGCGCTTCCACCTCGCGCTGCAGCTCCGACTTCCAGCCGTGCATGTCCTGCAGTCGCTCGCCAACCCTGCGCGTGGAGTCTTGCTGCGTGCGCTGCGCCAGCGCCTGGGTCTCCGATGCCAGCTGCTGGCTCTCATGCCGCTGCCGCTCCGACTGGTCGCGGTCCGCGAAGGCCTGGTGGTAGCGAGCATAGCAGTTCTGGAACCACTCCTCCAGCAGGTACTTGGCGGTGCGGAAGCCTGCGGTGGCCAGCCCGGAGGACGTGTAGGCGCCTGTGTTGCGGGCCACCTCGTACTCTTTGGCCGGCAGCTCGCAGGGCGGCACTGTCTGCGGGGCCGGCTCTTTGGTTAGGAGTACGTCCGTCTGCGCCATGGTGCCAGCCGCCCACCAGGGCCAGGGGAGTGAGGGGTGTGGCCAGCCGGTTGCGATCAGCCCAGTGCGGTCAGCGGGGCAGCTCCAGCGGCTCAGTCCCAGAGCAGGACGCGGCTCCCAGTCGCCTGGGTGACACTGTCAACCAAGAGCTTCCTGTTGCTAAGAAACGGGATCCCTTCTCCAGTGGCTGGGGGAGGGGGCATTCAGGGTGGCAGGCAGAACTGCCCTCTTAAAGGGCCAGGCAGCCCCAGCCCCACCATCCCTGTCCCCGCCTCGGCGCAATCAGCAGTGGCCAAGGGTTCTTGTCACTTAGAGGATCCTGGGGCCAGCCTGTCGCCAGCCTCTGTGTCCCACCCTTAGGGTTTAGGGTGTGGGTGGGGACCTGCTGCCCTAGCTCCTTCCTTGGTCCATCCGTTTGTTCCTGGTTTGGCTCTCTGAACCTGTCCTGTGGGCAGCTCGGGGTGAAAAAGACAGAGGAGGCTCTGCCCACCTGCAGCCCCCTCAGGGCACAGGGGTGTGGCTGTCGTGTGGGTGTCGGGTGTGCTGACTGACAGTGTTACTTGATGTCTCCCACTGTACATGTGGCTGCCCTCCCTGCCCTCCTGACCCCAACGGCAGCCTAGTAGCACAGAGAGGGTCCCAGGTCAGGCCTCCTCCGGGGCAGTCTGAGGCAGTTCCTGCAGGGACTCTGCTCCATCTGCTCCTGGACCTAGTGCCTGAGAGCCAGGCCCTGGCTTCTGGCCTCCTCCTTCCAAGTCCCAGCCAGGGTCCCTTCAGGCTGGGCACAGCGGGGAGGGAGTCTGAGCGTGCTCTTTGCTGGGGAGTTGAATTCAGCCTCTGGGTAAGTGTCCAGAGTCAGACTCCCAAATCTGCCCCACAGGGTGGAGGCAGGTCCTGTGCTGCGGAGGCTACCCTCAAAGCCACCTGGGGCCAGGCTGCCTGGCAGAGGCTGGATGGGCAGGAAGCGCCCAGGACACATGGGAGTCCTGCAAACCTGGGGTCAGGGGAGCCCCAGCCTAGGCGCGATTCCCCAGGCGGCCAGCGGAGGGCGGCGTTGGCCTGGCGGTGAGAAGCCTGAGGCTCCTGGCTTGGCCTCCCCTCAGCCTGCCTGGTGCATGCAGTCCTGGGGACCCCCAGCCCCTCCGGCGTCCTCTTCCCTGAGACTCCCCACCAGAGAGTCCTCACTAGGAAGTCCATGTCCCTCCTACAGCACAGGCCCCTGGGCCCCTGTTCCCTCCACCTTCACCCTCTCTCCCACCATAGCCCCCACCCTCACTCCGGCCACAGGGGCTCCTCCTGGGCCATTCCCACCCGCCCAGGGTCTGTCCATCCCCACCGTGTGCCCGCCAGTGTCCTCCCCCTGGACCTGACCCCCCCCGATCCTGACCTCTCCCGCTGCCAGAACCCTCACTCCATGCTGTGGTCACTGCGGTGTGCCTGGCGTGACACAGCCTCCTGATGGGGCTTTGAGGACAGCGTCCCAGAGACTTACCCCAACCCAGGCCGAGCCAGAACCTGTGGCAGGCGGCCTGGGAACCTCTTCTCACTATCCGTCGTCAAGATTGGGAGGTCAGGGGAACCTCAGGGGCTGCAGTGGTCTGAGAAACAACCTCGAGCCTCACTGTGACTCAGTTTCCCCAGGCGGCAGCAGGCTGGAGCCCACGCAGGGCAGGATGCCAGGCTCCACCTTTTGTCTGGAACCTGCATTCACTGGGCACCTCTCTGTAGGCAGAGCAGAGCTGCCCATGTTTGTTCCCTGATCTGCAGCCCAGGAACCCGAGAGACCACCTGAGCCAAGGAGAAGGCCTGTGGGCCAGAGCCCAGCTCTGCGAAGTGGGAGACCTCTCAGCCTCCACTTCCAGGTGCCCTGAAGTCGTTGGCAGGGGGCGCTGCCTGCCTGGGGCTCCCAGACTGAGGGAACACAGATTCACCTGGTGACCGCAATAGGCCCTGCAGGTTGAGGGACAGGACTTGACCAAGGATGCATCAGAGATAGGAGACTGGGCCCTCACTCCTGCCAGCTGCAAACTCCCAAAGCCCCCAGCCCTCTCATGGGGTGAAGATGCCCTGAAGGACACTCCAGTGTGCTCCCACCTCTGGGTTCTGCCAGCTGGAGAGTGGGAGCCTCAGGCCGCATGTGTCTTGCTGGGTCTCAGCTTCAGGGGACCCCAGGGTGCTGGCAGCTCCCTGAGACCTGGGTCAGGGGGTATCCATTAGAGCACCTTGGTCAGGACCCAGAGATGGGGAGGGCAGGGCTAAGAGCACTCCGGGCAGTTGGCATCTCCAGAAAGCAGGAGGTGGGACATGGCTGTGTGACAGATGTCCCTGTGACAGGGATGATTGGAGGGACAGAGGGGTGTGCTCAGGGGCTGAGGGGCAGACGAGGCCACCAAAGGGCACCTTGGACACTGGAGGGCCCCAGGAAGGCCCCTGGACCCCATTCTGATTGATCAGGGCCAGTGACCTTGGCCCAGACTGCGGGCCTGGGGACTCGGGTTCCTTTAGTTTCTTAAGAAACTACTATACTCCTTTTTGGCATAGCTGTACGATTTTACATTCCCACCAGTAATGTGTGAAAGCTCCAGTTTTTACTCATGCTCCTCAGCGTTTGATGTTTTTATTTTAGCCATTCTGATATATATATATATATGTATTAATAAGTCATTGTGGTCTTTATTTGCAAATTTCTAATGACTAATGATATTTAACATCTTTTTCTGTTCATAATTAAATGCCATCTGTATTCCTTCTCACATATCACTAGCACAGCCATGAAAAATCAGAGCAAAATTTTTAGAACAATATTCAAGGGAAAAGGTGTTTATTTAGAACAATGAAAACAATGAGACGTTAACTCCCAGCTTAAATAAAATTGATTGTGTCTATAAAAATGGTGAAAATATTGTACTTCCTTGGCAAAAGAAGAAAGGGGAATACTTTATATTCTCTGAAATAGTATTCATCATTTGTCTTTGGTTTGTTTATTAAGTGTATGATTTTGAAAAACTGCATCAAAGATGTGACTTTCTGGTGTTTGCTTTGATATTATCCTTGCAAACAGAAAAGCTGGCACATGTTTCTGTATAAAACTGGTCAAAGTTGGCCTAGGAGTGTTATTACGTTGTACTTTCACTTTACATCATACTGTAAGAGTTTAACAATAGCTGAGGCATCAACATTGATGTGGACTTATTATCCCTATTTAAGAGTTGGTGTGAGGTTTAGGAGAGTTATGTGCTCTTATCATAAAAGAAATCTATAAAGCATCTATATAAAAACTCAGTATTTCTGGTTTCAAATTCAGTACTGTGCTATCTGCTTGATAGATTTAAGTTGGCAGGTTAGAGACATTTTATTGCATAACTTCAACGATATATCACAGTGTACTCTTGACTATGTTTAAATCACAAAAAGCCTTTAATCTACACTCAGTTCTTTGAACTAAAATCGTCAGTTTGAATATGAATTTCACTTAAGAACATCCCTAGAAATTTTAGAGAGAAAAAGACTTTACTTGCAGATACAATCTGCATTTGCTTTGACAATTAGTTCACATATGTAAAATAAGTCTACCTGTCTGTATGCATGATTAAGATGTAAGTGTGGTAATGACTTGTTAATTAAAGCAATTAGAATGGTAGTAGATCATGGCACAATGCACCTTAAAAGCCGTGAACAGAATACATCACAAGCTATGATACAATAAATAGTCATTGGGTTGAAAGTAGTTTCCACATATAAAAACACAAAGCATATTTTAGCCCTTTAAATGTTCAGTCAATATTGGTCTTCTTGTAGATGCATTTATGAAGCAAACAAACAAAACCACAAAACATATAGCTTACCTGCTTCTCAAAACTTGTTGCACAAAGGATTGAGGGACTTCTCTACCCCAGGACCTATTATTAAAACCAGTAAGTCCGCAGTGAAAATTCTTCATTTGCCTGGAGTGTCATCTGATGTGTCTGTTGCAGGCAGCTGTGGCAGTGGTGGATGGTTCAGCGAGACGGAGCCTGCCCATGTCTGTCCATCCATCAGTGGGCTAGTGTCTCTCTGGCTGCACCTGAGCCTTCTCTACAGGAGTTATGGCATTAGCATCGTATTCAAAATAAATAATATTTGATTCAAACTTCCATTTCAGTATTCATTTTCTGACTAAGTTTGTGTAGCATGCTTAATTTTTCTGAGGCTCAATTTTAGTAACAGTAAAGTTATATCTGCTTAAAAGACAGGGGCACATCCCAATTTTGTGTGCATTTATTTTTTCTTGAGATGGAGTTTTGCTCTTGTTACGCAGGCTGGAGTGCAATGGCGTGATCTCGGCTCACCACAACCTCCACCTTCCGGGTTCAAGGGATTCTCCTGCCTCAGCCTCCTGAGTAGCTGGGATTACAGGTGCCCGCCACCACTTCCAGCTAATTTTTTGTATTTTTAGTAGAGATGGGGTTTCGCTATGTTGGCCAGGCTGGTCTTGAACTGACCTCAGATAATCCACCTGCCTAGAGGCCTTCCAAAGTGCTGGGATTACAGGTGTGAGCCACCATGCCTGGCCTCATCCTCAAAAAAGAATTTATCAAAATTTTGTGTAGGTTTTTTTTTTTTAAAGTAGAGGAGTAACACTTTATTAAAATGCCACTATCTATGTTCTAACAAATACCTCAATTTCACAATTAAATGCATGTGGGGAGAGAGAGGGAGGGAGAGAGAGACAGGACGGAGGTGGGGAGAGAGAGAGAGAGAAGAGAGAAAGGTATCTCTGGCGTCTCTTCCTTTTCAGATGAAGACCCCAGTCCTAACAGATTAGGGCCTCACCCTTTTGCCCCCATGTTAACCTTTACTTTCTTCTTTCTTCTTTTTTTTTGAGATGGAGTCTTGCTCTGTCGCCCAGGCTGGAGTGCAGTGGCGCAATCTTGGCTCACTGCAAGCTCTGCCTCCCGAGTTCATGCCGTTCTCCTTCCTCAGCCACCCGAGTATCTGGGACTACAGGCGCCCACCACTACCCCCGGCTAATTGTTTGTATTTTTAGTAGAGACCAGGTTTCACAGCGTTAGCCAGGATGGTCTCGATCTCCTGACTTCGTGTTCCGCCCACTTCGGCCTCCCGAAATGCTGGGATTACAGGCGAGAGCCACCACTTTACCTTCTTAAAAGCTCCTTCTCCAAATACAGTCACATTGGGAGATAGAGCTTCAGGTTAGGAATTCTGGGGGGACAAAATTGTCTCCAAAAAAGACACTAATATGAG